GATTATGTCTTTTGGTGAGTACTTTTTTCATTATCAATATTGACTGTATTCTCGATGGCTAGATATAACTATAAATTTTATAGAGCAACGTAGCAACGGCCTCACACGGTGATTGGGTTGAGCGATGATGAAGATGATCATACGCGTGTTGTTAAGAAAGATTAGGCTTTTCTTTTCAACTCAATTTCAATGTTATTACGAATAAATATATATTTCAGTAAAAACCGCAAAATCATCAGCAAGTTAGTGTGGAAAACCATCAACTACATGAAGGTCCTGAAGGTAATGGGAGTAATTCATTAAATGATGACGTTGATTTTGATATACAGTATGTTATTAAAATGCGTTAAGAAAATTTAAACGGTGATAGAACTCTTCAAAACAATTTACTTTGCTATTTACCATTTTTTCGAAAAATCTTTCTAAACCCAGATAAAATTTTAATTAGTTTGAACGTAAATTCTAGTACTCGCCAATGTCTCCCTGCGTACATTAAAAGCGAAAGAAGATAAAAACTTAGATAGCCAAGCAAAAACCAATTCTTTATTCGTAGTAAGTGAGAGGGACATTCAAGTTACGCACCACACTTGATAAAGGGCACTAACCCTCAAATTAAATGTTTGAAATGACGCCCTCCGTTATCGATATATGCTTGTACCCTTCGAGCCATAAAAGCTTTAGTTTTCACCAACATGTCGGAATATCGTCGAATTGACTCGACAGCATTATTCACACGAACAGTTAATTCTTCGACGGTGTTAACTCGTTCACACCATTTACAAACGATACGAATCCTACAATCTAACAACATTTAAAATATAATTGTTTTGTTTTCAGAAATCTCTTGATGCTCTTCTAAAATACCTTGGCGGTGATTGTCTCTCCGATGATATGGTGGGAGTGGTTTTAGAAATCCAACAATTTCCGGAAAAACCAATTGGCATAAGTTTTCTAAAATTTCACCAGCTTATAACGTGTTATTGAAGGTAATCAGCGTAGTGTTGCAAAGCAATGCAGCCTTCTTCACTAATGATTTACTAAACGTACGCTTTGATCGAGTTCGACCACCAGCTGGTTCAGGTGGAAACAAATCGACAAGATATGTAAGTTTCGAAGAATTTAGCATAAGTAAAAATAGTGTGTTTGTTGTGGAAAATAATGCTAATAACATGTGTCTCGCATATGCCTTATGCATTGCTAAAACGTCTGCGGATAATAATTTCGATCGACGGGTTTTAAAAGATTATAAGAAAGCTACCGGTAAAAAATTACTCCACCGAGAAACACAGGAGTTATGTAAAAATGCTAACGTTGATTTGTCGAACGGGGGTAATTGTAATCATATTGAGCAATTTCAATGCTATTTAAATAACTATATAATCGTAGTATATAATTCAAGAGACGGTCGTTCGGTATATTATGAAGGAGTTCGTATGGACGGACAACCGTGTTTAAATTTATTAATAGAAAATAACCACTATAATGTTATTTTAAGTTTGAGGTAGGTGCTTTTACATCGTCATTTTATTGCGAAAGACGTCGTTTTTCATACGATACTTTAAACGGTCATTGGAAATGCCCATACACGTGTTCATATTGTCATTCCAAACCGCCATGTGATCTTAGATTAAACAATGTTTCTTGTAATCTCTGTTTTCGTGAATTTAAAGGACAGGTATGTTTCGAGACCCATAGGAAAAATAAATGATGTGATAAATTGAAAAAATGTGATCGATGTTTATAGATATATTGGGTAAAGAAAACCAAATCCCACGTTTCTGGGTCTAAGTTTTGTAGTAATTGTAAAGAAATTAAACCAATAAGACATTCATGTTACATTACACCTGCGACGTTTAACCCAAAAGGTTAGGCAGATTTAAAGAAATTCCTCTTAGTATTCTATGATTTAGAAACAATGCAAGAACGAAAAATGAAGAACAATCTGTATCTTCACGAGGTCACAATCTTTGCATTTCGCAACAGGTTTGTGGGTCATGCGTTGAAAAGAGTGAAATTAAAGAAAATTGCGATAACTGTGGTGTACGACTAAAAATATATCGCGGCGATAACGCTTTAGAAACGTTTCTTGATGACATTGTCGAATTGTCTAAACGTTATATCGTGACAGCCGTTGCTCATAACATGTGCGCATTTGACGGATGTTTTGTATTACGTCAGATGTTTTCCAATGCGTCAAGATGGTCACCAGAAGTAATCAGAAACGGTACCAAACTGTTAATAATCAGATGCGGGGAGTCTATTAGATTTATTGATAGTCTTAATTTTATCGCTTACCTCTTTCTCAATTTTCAAACGCTTTTAAACTAGCTCAAACAAAAGGCTACTTTCCTCATTTTTTTAATACGCGAAATAATCGTAATTAGGTGGGTCCTCTTCCCGATGCAAATTTTTATGGTTGTGAAGGAAGACGAACGATCAAAATTTTTAAAATGGTACAATCATCAAACTGCCATTGGTTACGTCTTTGATATGGATAAAGAAATAATAAAATATTGTCTTGCGGATGTAGATATTTTACGTCGGTGGTGTTTAAAATTTAGGCAGTGTTTTCTTGGTCTTTAGACGTAATTTTCTTAAAGCCGAAACAATAGGGATCGTACCAGTGGGTGGTTACAGGGTTAAAGACAAGCAGTCGCGTATTGCGAGTGGCTTATGTGGGAGAGTCGCGAAAGAAACATTTTTATAGAACACGCCGGTAACAGACGCGAAGTACGTTTACCCGAGGGTATGATTGTTGACGGTTACTGTATCGAAAACCGAACGGTCTTTGAATTCTACGGTTGTTTCTGGCATGGTTGCCTTAAATGTTATCCGAATCAAACAGCAAAGTTGAGTGGTAAAAGTGAAAGTTTATTTAATCATTAATTGGTCATTAATCGGTCATTAATTCACTTCACTAATTACCATGCTTTTCTACTGACGATGGACTTATTTTTATGTCTATTTAATGATACTGATAATCTTGTATATGTTTTTTTTTTATAATTATTTAGTAAAAGTCCAAAAATGTTGCCAATAAAAGCCACAAATAACACTAAACAGAGTTACAATTCAAGATGAAGCTTCCTTGTTTCTTCTTCTAATAGCCTGTAGCAGAAAAACTTGGAAAATCTTCTTTCCAACAGAAATAAATAGAATCAAAGTGCAAAATTTAAACTCTCATAACTTCGAAATTTTTATAGATATATATTTTTTAACATTTGTCTTCTTGTCTAGGGCATCGCGCAATGATACAGTGTCACGGAGATGCGCAATTTTACAGACAGCCTGTATGAATTAATTTTTTTAAATTTTTGTCGAGATTTTAGTCGAATTTTGGCACCCGGAGCGGTCTATTTATAATAACTGCGGACTTCTTGGTGATAACCGCTTATGTTTGATACCGTTGAAAAGAAAATTTAATTTACAATATACAAAAAAGATCAGTGTTCTGCAATAAATAGTTATCGAGAAAATTTCTGATGTACAAATCAAAGAAAAAATGAATAAAATCATAAATTAAAACATTGCAAGATTTAACAAAATAAATTTATATTTTTTTATTATACCTGCATCATAATCCTAAATTAGAACACACAATAATTTGGCCTTTATAGCACGCTGAATTTTAAAGTTGTCTAGGTAACAAAAAATAGTGAAATGTCTGGACCAATTACTACGTAAAAAAATGTGCTTAACAACGTAAACTAGTAACCGTCTCTACGAAAACGATTCGCAAACAACCTTTGGTAATTTTATTGTGTAAATTCACATTTTTGCAATGCTCATAAAATTTCGTAAATGGGCAGGTATAATAAAAAATAGCGTCGTTCTCTTAAAGCCGTCGTGCGTGTTTTAAAGGCTTGCTTATAAACTAGTATTATAAGATACTATTTTATCTATGTATATGTTTTATTTATTTTACCCTTAATAAAAATATTTTATTAGTATTTATTTTACGGAATTCTAGTTTTTTAACATAATAATATGTTTGGTTGCATATCCTATTTTTGAACGAAACCTCCAGTGACGTCAATTCGCGCGAATAATGCGCACACGTGATTACGCACAAAGTTACGAGACAACCTTCTTACTTTATAAATCTTGATTGACAGTAATTTGATATACCGGGTGTCCCAGGCAAGCTTGGATATAGGAGATTTACATGGGAAATTTTTTATTTTTTTCCGGCTGCAAGAGTAACAAAAATTAAAACCTGATTAATGGAGCTTGTAGTGCTCGAAAAGGGCTGTCTTATCGACAGTTTTGTGGATTCTCCAATTAACTCCATTTGGGCGAAAACGACCCTCAAAAAATCGAAATTTAAATTTGCCGGGTTAGCGTTACTAAGAAACGAACTATCAAGTCATTATTACCAACAGAGGAAATGAATGTTGTTGGAAAATAAATGTTAATTTTCCAATAAAACACATCAATAATTGAATGAAAATGCTTTTCAAGCATTATTGGAAAATTAACATTTATTTTCCAAAAACATTCAGAAAACACAATCAACGCAAGAGCTTTTAGCTGACAAATTCTCTGTTGGCAACAATCACTTTTGATAGTTCGTTTCTTAGTACCGTTAACCCGGCAAATTCAAATTTCGATTATTCGAGGGCCGTTTTCGCCCAAATGGAGTTAATTAGAAAATTGACAAAAATGTATAAGATAGCCCTTTTCGTGCACTACAAGCTTCATCAATCAGATTTTGATTTTGATTGCTCCTGCAGCCGGAAAAAAATAAAAACTAATCTTCCACGTTAATTTCCTATATCCAAGCCTGCCTAAGACACCCGGTATAGAAAAATATTTTTATTAATAGATACTGTAAAAGTATTGTTAATATGACGATTACAATTTGCTGTAGACATTCAGTAAATAAAATTCAACATTGTCAACAAAAGCCCAATTTTTAAATGTAATATTGGTTGTATAACCTACACAAGTGTTGATTTTATTTTTTGTACGGTTGGCAATCGTTTCTGTTTATTATTCTAGTTTTTCTAACCTCACTTATTAGTAAGGTTAGAAAGCATGTGGATTGTAACTTAAAAGTTCTATTTATCTTGCCAACGAAATGGACATTTCCGAGTTAATTCTAACTACGTGTCGTCACTCGCAACAATGGTCTGCTGCATTATGGGACTCTTCAACTGGGAGTATCGTTCATTGTTACAGAAACGGTGGCGTTGTGGCTCCTCAGACCCTAAACTTAATCGGGGATGACTACATTCTCACATCTGAGGATGCCAAACCTATCACACACGTCTGGTGTGTAAACAGTCAAGAAGTGGAAAAGAAAATGAGTACAATTCATTCAGAGAAGATTACGGCCATGTGTGTTTGTCCTCAGTCTTGCTATGTAGCTGCTGGAATTGGGACAAAACTGTATGTGTGGCAGTTGGCTTCTGGCAAGTTACTGTCTATCCAGAAGAAGAATTACCAACCAATTACTTGTGTCAAGTTTTCAAATGACGGCGCTTTTGTTATTGTTGCGGGACAGGATGGAATGTTGGTTGTATACAGTTTAGCAAATTTAGTGAGTCTCCACAACAATTTCGTGTCGCAAAGTGGGGGGCAAGTGGAACCGATTTACACAAAACACGACCACAGTTTACCAATAACTGACCTCCACGTGGGAAATTTTGGCCCCAAATCGCGGCTGGCAACAGTTTCCTATGATAACACTTGCAAAGTCTACGCCTTATCAACAGGAACATTACTTCTAAATCTAGTTTTTGAGCATCCCCTAAGTGCTGTTGTTTTTGATGGGCCATGTTGGAACCTGTTTTTGGGTCAAAATTCGGGAAAAATACAACAGTTTTATTTGAAAGAACCTCCCAGAGGGTTGGAACATCATGTCAAGGACGATCTGATATTCCAAGGACATGATAAACGCGTCACTTGTCTCGACTTGGGGATAGCCAATGGTGTGCTGGTGTCAGGTTCTGATGATTGTTTTGTTTTTGTTTGGGAAATTGCCAGTAGACAAATTTTACGCAGGATTGAACATAAAGGGGCCATCACGAACGTTAAATGCGTTTTGAAGCATGATAATTTTTTTGTACAAAATTTAAAAGCAAAAGTTGTTGTAAAAAATTTTGATAGGGGTTTGATACAAGGGGATGATTTTGTTTTGAGTAAAATTCAAGGATATGATATTGACGATGAGGATGATGGCGAAGGAACAAGGGAAGATAGTAGTGAGTTGAAGAATGAAAATGCCAAGTTGAGGTGTGTTAATAAACAGTTATATGATGCTGCGATCCAGATTAGTCGCAAATACAACAATTTTTAGTTTTTCATTAAGAATGTATTAGCAAAATTTTTATATAATAAATTCTAAAATTTACATTAGTTGTGTTTTGTTTTCTTTCGTACTGACATTTTTAATAATTTCAAATTTTCTCAGCATGTTATTCACACTATTTTTGATCCGACCAGTTTTAAACTGTCAAAAGTTCAAAAAAAAAATAGTTTGCGCTAGGGAGTTACATATATTGAGGTTGGTAAATTAAACTCCAAATTACTAAAGTAACTGCAAATTAAACAAATTATTGCATACATCAAATATACTCTTTTTCATAGTAATGTGCATCAAGTATGTTGTAGTAGTCTAAACGAATCTTTAACTTAAAGGCTGATTCACACAAAAAGTGTCAATAATATGTCATTCAGAACAATTTTAAGTACATTAATTAATAACAAAAATCTCTATGTTTGATGTCCTATGTTAATTACGTTAATTTTAATAATTTTTTTGCTTCCTGAGTCACATATTTATTTGAAAAAATAATTTCTAGGGAAAATTGAGGTTAGGATTAAGTGAATTTTTGCATGGGTGCCACCTTAAAATGATCCCTTTTAATTACTACTTCGATGCACATTAATATGAAAACGAGTATATTTGCTATGAAAATAAAGGGCTTAACGGATACCAATATTGCCAACATTTAAAATTCGTTTGATGACCTATGTAGTAGAGTCTGTTTTTTTATTAAATGGAAATGTCAAACAGTCTTAACGTTGGCACCTCTAACAAATTACTTAATGGTATTTTTAATAGTTGGCAGTTCCGTTTTTTAATTTAATTAAAAGAACGCAATTAAATTAGTAGGTCTGGTTGCAAAAAATAAATGGCAAAATTTATTGAGAGACAGAATTTTTTCCATGTTCCTGGTATTTTATTTTACTTAAAATTTTCCTCTGAGGCGCGAGTTCTGACACAACCTGTATAATTTTGTGGGATTGTAATGTGGGTAAATAAAATTTGGGCAGCTATTTGATTATTTTCACTTTATTTTCGTAGTCAAAATATAATAATTAACCCTTATAATATGATAAGCAAAATTGGACACACTATTATGGCGAAAATTCTCATAACATAACAAATGTAAAAATAAGTTAAGCAGCAAATAAGACAATCACAGTAAAAGAAGGGCTCATAATTCGCACTGACCTCTTTATATCATGATATTTGAATATCGCAAGCCCTTTTTAAAATAAATAATAAAAAGTTGAATTAAAACAAAAGCAAATAGAGCGTCACAGTCTTTTTTACATTTACAAATATAAAAACAAGAAGAACCACTTATAGAACACATATATACAATAATATACAAAAAACGGGAACATATCCACAAATAGGTATCGGGATGACAATGTGAGAATAGATTTTAGACACAAAGAACTAATTTGAAACGGTCTACGACAGTGTATTTATGAATATGTTTAAAAATCGTAGCTATTAATATCATTATAATATAAACATTATTTTACATGAAAATTCTTGGCTTGTGAAGTAAAAAATAGTGTTTAAATACATAAAAAAATATGCGAAAACACTAAAAACGTTTTATATACCGTAATCCAGTTCGTTCTTTATAACATTCTTATAAGTCTACTCTGAACTAGCTTTTATTTACAACTTTACAATCTTTTAGTTTTTAATTCTTTTAAAATATACCTCTTCCCTCTGTATACTTGAATAACGAAACTATCCGGTGGGTAATTGTCGCCGACTTCATTTCCACTCATCCAACTTGATCGGCAATTACCCGATTTTAATTACACGTATTGGCAGTACCAAATATATAAAATCTTAAGTTTATTTCTACTCTTTCAGAATACTGTGTCGTGTCCGGTATAAAATGTACGTCTAAATTTACTTTCCTAACAGACAATAGCTTGTTTTTAATTCATTTTTCATTCGTCTAGATACATATTTAGAATTTTTCTAGAAGTACAAGGGAGGCAACATCTATCATATGTATACAACAAATTTCTTCATCAAAAAACGCATGTGAATCGCTAGATGTCATGGCAAGAGAAAATAGGTATAAAACATCTTAATAACCGCCATCTCATTTTTCAACAAGCTACTTTCCATCACAGTATTTTCATTTTTTTTTCTTATTAGAAAAAACAAACGCGAAAATTATATACAGGCAAGAAAATACGCAAATATACAATTTGTGCTATAACATACATACATTTTGACTACTAATTACACAAGCATGAAACACAAAAATAACATTCGTTGTACCGTTAAGCTCCACATTATTATTACAATAAAAAACACATGCTTGTATAATTAGCGTCATGAAAATTACAAAATAAGCCAACATTTACAAACCGAACGAAATCGTAGATGAAATTAAAACGGGTATTGAATTATCTTACTAAGTCCTTTTATAAAACACTTAATACTCTGATAAAGTATGAAGAACTGCCCGTCTTCATCATCTTATAATCAGTGCTGCCAGCGCTGACAAGAGGATGATCAGTGTCGTCGGAATCGCAATGGTACTTGAATTTTCGTTGTCAATAGAGCAGGTTCCTAAAAAAATAAAACAGTCAATCGGAAACTTAAACAATCCTACTATTAAAAAAGGTAACACAATACCTATGGTTTTGCATTGTTATACAGGTGCGCCAGAACTCGCGCCCCAGAAAAAAAATTTCAAGTAAGATAAGATACTAGGAACATGGAAACATTTCTTTTTTGACATTTGACATTTTCTTATGTCTATTTAATGATAGTGATGATTTTGTATATGTTTTTTAATAATTATTTAGTAAAAGTATACAAATTTTGCTAATAAAAGCCACAAATAACATTGAACAAAGTTTCAATTTAGGATACAGATTCTTTGTTTCCTCTCCTAATAGCCTATAGCAAAAAAACTTGGAAAATTATTTTTCCAACAGAAATAAAAATTATACATACACACCTATACAAGATGATTCTTTTAGGGCCTATATTAGAAACTTTTTAACTTCTAATGCAGATAGAAATTTGAAATTTTGTACACAACCCAAATCAACCAGTCTGAGTTCAACTAAATTATTTTCAAAATGGCTGAACTTCCGGAACTACGAGAAATTGGCGCCAACTTTGAAATTTTAAATGGTACCCACTTATTTTTATTGCATTTTTGAATTCTCCTCTTTAAACTAAGTAAAATGTACCTAGTTGTTAGTACTTAACTATCATAGTTTTTGACATATGTCAATTTTTTGGTRAAAATTTTCACTTGCAGGGGTTCATTCAAAACATCACAGCTCTTGAACCCTTTGCGATAAGTGAATATTTTTTGTTGCATTCGAAAACCAAAGGTTCGAAAAATTTTCTAGAATTTTCAAAATTGTCGACTGTCAAATTGCAAGGCTAGTATGATTTTTTGAAAATGATCATTAACAAACAGCTTTAACTCAGTTTTTCAAATGAAATGACTCTATTTTCTCAACGGCAATCAAAACAACATCAATTTGTAGAAGGACTTTTATCAACATGTCCTATACCTATCTCTTATAGTTTTTGAAATAATCACAAAAAACATGTTAATGTTTTTATTTTTATAGTTAATCACGTAGGCTTTGGAAAAATACAATAAGATATACTTATAATTAATACAGATGTTCGATATGTTTACCATTTTCAAACAGTCCAAAACTCGATGGTGAACTGATTTGAGTGGCTTCCATTAGTTCATTTGGTTGAAGATTATTAAATGCCGCCTCAATTCTTTGTAATTCCAGATGGGTGTTGTGTAGACTAATAAATCTTTAATTCGTTTTGATCATTTTCCAAAGGCTACGTGATTTACTATAAAAATAAAAAACAAAACCACGTTTTTCGTGATTATTTCAGAAACTGTAAGAGATGGATATAGGACATGTTGATAAAAGTCCTTCTACAAATCGATGTACTTTCGATTGCCGTTGAGAAAATGAGGTCATTTTATTTGAAAAAACTGAGTTATAGCTGTTTGTTACATATCATTTTCAAAAAATCATATAAGCTTTGCAATTTGACAGTTGACAATTTTGAAAATTTTAGGAAACTCTTTGAACCTTTGGTTATCAAATGCAAGAAAAATTATTTACTTATTACAAACGGTTCAAGAGCTGTGATGTTTTTAATAAACCTCTGCAAATGAAAATTTTGAGCAAAAAATTGACATATGTCAAAAACTATGATAGATAAATACTAACAACTAGGTACATTTTACTCAGTTTGGAGAGGAGAATTCAAAAATGCAATAAAAATAATTGGTTACCATTTAAAATTTCAAAGTTGGCGCCAATTTCTCGTAGTTCCAGAAGTTCAGCCATTTTGAAAATAATTTAGTTGAACTCAGACTGGTTGATTTGGGTTGTGCACAAAATTTCAAATTTCTATCTGCATTAGAAGTTAAAAAGTTTCTAATATAGGCCCTAAAAGAATCACCTTGTATAAAAATAACTTCAAGAACATTACTTTGCAAAATTTTGTTGAATTACGGAAAATTATCGAAACTGATTTGGAATTATGTAAATTAACTTGTAATTAAATAAATTAAAATGAAAACAGCGGAATTACAATGGTTTTACAATAATCAATTATTATGATATTCTGATGATTTGAATAATTTATTGCAAAATCAATAAATCGGAATTTTGTAACTTTTTAATGCTTCTTATCAAGTTTCTTTCTTTACTAGTTTTGGTTATTTCTGTTCAATTCTAAAAAAATATTGCTTTTCAAAACACACTAGGTACCACATTAGAATACCCACACAGAGTGTGTCATTAGTCATTACCAGCGTCGGAAAACATAGACTTTTTTAATTAAAATACGAATACAATTTTTTATTTTGTTTTATGGTTCCCAAAATTGCATCGACTAAATCTACATATTTCAATGACACATTAATTTTATAATTCCAGGATCGTATTTTTTTTTTAATAATAACCTACATAGAGTAGGCCAGAACTCGCGCCCCAGAGAAAAATGCAATTTAGGTACATACCAGAAACAAGAAGAAATTCTATCGATAAAAATTTAGAAGTAATGAGAGTTCAAGTTTTGCAATTTGACTCTATTTATTTTGTTGGAAAAACTTAGTTTTTTTGCTACAGGCTATTAGAAGAGGAAAATGTTATTTGTGGCTTTTATTGGCAAAATTTTTGTACCTTCACTAAATAATTATAAAAAAACATATACAAGATTATCAGTACCATTAAACAGACATAAAAAATGTCAAATGTTAAATTTTTTTGACAGATAAAATTTTTTAAACATTTTTCCCATGTTCCTGGTATCTTATCTTACTTGAAATTTTTCTCTGGGGCGCGAGTTCTAACACCCTGTATTTCTTCCACGCTTTTTTTTGTTTCTTGATTTAGGATTTCGGATTTAATAAAAAAATATACGTGGTAAACTTATCTAAATACTCACCGTTGCTGGTGAAGTTGAACGCCCAATTTCCGGTAACTCCCGGTATGACGTGTCGATGGCAACTTTCCGAGACCCCCGATAGTCGCAAAATCGGAGGTTCAACCTTTTTACCTAAAGAGCCTTCAATTACTGTAGTCTCCGGCTGGTTTGACAACGTATAAATGAAACAATATCGAAGTGCGTCTGTCGATTTTCTTGCCACCGGCGACGCGATTACATACGAAATACCATTTTCTTCCCAGCTTCCATGACATGAATATTCTGCAAAGTTATAATTACCTTTAATTATGCTGAAATTTCTATAGTAATACAAACGTACCGCTGATGGTCTGTTGGGTACAAGAAGAACGAAATTCCATGCCGTGTGAACCGCCACAGCCTACTGCCAAAGCCTCATAATTGTGGGAATAACAATCGGCCGAGAGTTGATTAGAGGAGGCACCATCATCTGAAAATGGGGATTTTTCAGGTGGTTTCATTGTGATAACAATAATGTAAGATAATACCTGGCTGTTGTCTTTTTTTACGCTGTTCGGAATTTGATGCAATTGGGTTAAATAAAGTGTAACGGCCGAGATGGGGGCATTTCTTTGTGTGTAAAGTTGTTGCTGAAATTTTAAAAGATACTACGTTAAAAAAAATTAAAAGTCTACAATTTTATACGATTCCTAGTGAATTTCCAATCTGTTTTAAAGAATAGTTTTAAACATCTATTAGAAATTTCATCGTTTTTAATTTTTTAAAATATGGTAATTTAATACAACGAAAAATGTTGTGCGTATATTATTACATACTACATTTTTTTATAAAAATATTTGTCGTGTAATAATTAAGTTTTATAATTACCTGCTCAATTATCAGTTTGTTCAAAAAATTATTCAACTTTTATAACATTGAGCCTTACATCAGCTACATCTTTACCTTACATGTTGTTAATTTTTAGCGAAATTTTCTATGCAGGCTGTCCCAGCGAGTTGGTAAAGTCTATTAGTAGTGACCTTTAAATGGTAAAATTAAAAAAATATGTTTCTTAGCACTGTTTGATGTAGATTTTTATGACAATATTTTTAAGCTAAACTTTTATTGGTCGATAGTTTTAAAAATAAGACCGTTTTTTTTTACGAAAACATACAGTTCTTAATAGTTATTTATTCTACGAGTTTGAGTGTAAATCGGACGCATTATTTCATTATTTTTAAACAACGAGTGTAACGAGTGGTTTATCATGCACGAGGTGGTATAAAGCGTCCGATTTACACTCAAACGAGTTGAATACAACATTTTATTCTTCGAATTAGACTAAACAAGACTTAAACTTGCTTTACATCTGTTAAAAATCTGACGTTTCGTATTGGGAATTGCCCAACAGTTGTCAAAACTTCCTTACACGGGAAAAAACCGTAAATTTTGACAGAAGAATAAAAATTTATTACAAAAAAACTAAGACATCTAGAAATATTATTTTTACTACCGTAAAGAAGGTACAAGCTTAAGGCTGTAACATTTTTTTCATGTGAAGCATTTGCAAAGATAAAAATATTTTGAAATGTTTTTATTGAAATATTATTATATTGAAATATAATTGAATTGAAATTGAAAAAATATTATATTGAAATATTTTGTCTAGATCGGTTTGAATATTGAATATATAAATTTTCTAATATTAATCTTTTAACTTTGTTTTGTTCCATGTGTAGAAATTGAATATTATTATAATTAAAAGAATGTCCGGTTTCGACTGAATGTTTAACAAAGTCTGAGTGTCTTATATTGGCTTTAGATAAGTGATATTTATATTGTTTTGTTCTATTTTTTATGTATTCGCAGGTTTCAACGATTATTGCAATCTTTGCAGCCAATTTTGTAAATGACGTTAGAAATTAAATCATTATCAGTTTTGTCCTTAACTTTACTAAACAACAAATCATACATGGTGTTGACAGGTTTCCATGCTGGTACAATATTTACATTTTTAGTTATTGATTCAATTTTTGATTTAAGATTAGCGTCAAAAGGAAAGCTAACATAGTTGTTGATATTATCATTATTATTATTAGAAGTTTGTATTAATTCGATGAACCTATTTTTTATAATAGACAATTTCTGATGATCTGGATAAGACATATAATTTAAATATTTATTAGAAGCAATTTCTGTTGTATAAAAATCAAGGAGTATAAATTATTATCAAAAATTAAGGTAGTATCAAGAAAATTAATGCGATTGTTTTTTGAAACTTCGACAGTGAGTTTGAGTCTGGGATGAAATTGATTAAACTCTAAAATGTGAAAAATATTATCTATTGGTACAAGTGCTATGCAATCAACATATCTATTAAATAGGAATATCAAAGGGAATATTGTTAAAACAGTGGTTTCTATAGCTCATAGAAACTATATCAACAATAATGGGACTAATATGACATTCAAAAATCTGCTTATAAATAATTTGATCAAAGGTGAAATAAGAAAAATTTGAAAACAATTTTAGGGTACATAAAGAGAATCCTTTGTCAATATTAATATGTAATTCATTAAACCTTCTGTTAACAATGTCAATAGACAAATCAACCGGAATATTAGTAAAAAGTAAAATTACATCAAATGACACTGGAGTAAAAAAAATGCGATTATAATTCTTAAGATCTAGGGCTTTAATTTTCATTAAGAAATCTGATGTGTTCTTTATTTTATAATTAGAGGTAGTTGTCAAGGTTTTTAAGATGTTGTCTAAAAACTTGGATAATTCATAAATGGGGTTGCCATGTGTTGACACGACAGGTCGAAGAGGACGATTATTTTTATGAATTTTAAGACGGTAAATTTTAGGGATGACACCATTGTGACAAATTAAGTTTTTATAATCAAGACTATTTATTCATTCATTATTCAACAAGTGTTTAGCGATGTTATTATTTTTGTTTTATAAATTCTCAGCGGAGACTTGTTAACTATTACATAATTGTTGGTGTCAGATATTAGATCAGCCATTTTTTGAAAATATTTTCATTGAGCAGAATCTAAACGATTATGGCTACAATAAAAATTTTAGATAAATATCACTGTTAGAATCCCAATACTTCTAATGTGGGGTTTACCCGGAACAGCCACTTATACATCTTTTAAAATTTTATCATTTAAAGGTCAATTTTGGACTTTACCAACTCGCTGGGACACCCTGTATATTGTTAATTTTTAGTGAAGTTTTCTATGTGTTAGTTAATTATAACATTGCATTTAGAATGTTTCCTATAATAAATAATTAAGCATCATTTTATTAAACTTACTGATTAGAGTCGTGTACGGGGTTGTGGTCGGATTAAAATTGGCACAAGCATCATCGGGATTCTCGGCGTAATTTTCTGCAAATTAAAATGAATAAGCGTGAACATTCTCTAATCAAAAAAATCACCTGATTGCTGTAATTCGATCACATTGGAGTCCCTCTTGTAGAACATCATACAAACATAGCCACTGTCACTGAAACCGAAAATTTAGTTAGTACAATCAATTCCACACTTGCGAAAAGCGATTACCATCCGGATGTAATGTGAGCAACAATTTGAACTTTCTTGTGATCATGCGACTGCAGGATCATATGACACACTAATCGCATATCGGAATTCTGTTGCCTTTGATCCTGCGATTCGAATCCGAACTCTTGAAAATCGAATGCGTAATTCTGATGCACTTTGTTTGGTTTTGGCGCTTCGTCGTCTAAAATCTTCAAAGTTGCGTTTTTAGAACTGAATCTGTAGGTTTTGTGATGGTCTAGACTCAGCCATGTGTGGTGGTCGGTTATCCATAGTGGAAATTTGCATCTGTTGTGGTGGTTATCCACTGTTGTTAGTTTCATTGTTCTGCTTCCTTCGAAAGCGTTTTGTAGGCCGTTGCACGTGGCGTCGCCCGATTGGGCTATGTTGTAGACAGTCTTGCCGTTCTCGGTGTTTCTTTGGTAAATGAAGCATCTGTATTGGTCTTCATCTGAGATCAGGTTTCTTCTATTGCCTTGCGAAATTCGGCCAATGAGATATCGAGTGGAACCTTCCTTCCACACCGCCAGACACACTAATTCTTCCACTGAAATTGACAAAGAACCACATAGCATTGCACGAAAAACCACTTTGATCTAATTTTATTAATTAATCTATTTCATATTTTTTCCATTCTGCATATTTTTTGGTTTCTTTCCATTTCACCTGCTCCCACAACTTTTTCCTCTTATTTGTTTAAAATTGGAATTAACTGATAGTTATTTAAAGATCAGAAAAAATATTATTTTTTAAACATAGGTAATTAGTGCTTATCCAAATATTAGGTAATTAAAATAACATATTGTTTTAATAAAATTACATTTTGATATCACATATTTGGAGAAAATTTTACCTATTAAATTCGGTGCCAAGACAACTGTACACAAGTTGATGAAGCAATAGCAGTAAAAACTATTAAAAAAATAGTTTTTAAGTCCTTTATTAACCTTGTTGTCAATTTTCAAAACGAAATCTATGTAAAATAGTAAAGGTTGTTTATGATTTAATTACTTTTTGTAAAGTAGTGGACAACAAAAAGAATTGTAAAAATTTGGTGACATTTTTGTTAGAAATTGTTTATCCTTTATAGCGTCACATGACATATTAGCAAAATTTCTCCATATATGTGAAGCAATATTTTGTAAAAATATTTTTTCCCAAAGTAAGAAAAGCAAAAAAATGTGACAATTTCTTTCAAGAATGTAATTTCTAAAGGTGGGACCATATTGATTTATATAGGGTGTTTTCAAATGCAGAAATTAACATTTCTTAATGAAACACCCTAAATAAAATTAGCATTAAGTAATAACGCAAATAGTTTCTGAATAAACTCTTTAAATTTTATTATAAAAAATATAAACTTCAGTCTATGCTACTATTCGCTAATTACGCTGTATATGTATTATACAGGGTAATTCAAAAGTGTTGGACCATCTCTTGGGTGGTGATAAAGAACATCCAACTGAGTTAAAAGTTCCCATGACAAAAATTGTTTGAGTCTTTTTTTTTACAAAATATAGCTCTACAAAAATTAAATTTTGGATTAAGCTTTTGGCTGTTCCGATTATGTAATGTTAAATTTAGTTAGTGGAAACGCTAGACCTTGTAAGACTGAACAGAAAACTGTTGAGAAAAATCACCAATTTGTGTCTTATGGTGTAAAAAAACATTTAACAAACTATCAAGAACTTAGATGCCTACATGATAATATGAAAATTGACAATTAAAAAAAAAACTTCAAACAAAAGTCTGAACTCATTTCTTTGCTTAGCTGAAAATCTTCTATCACCATTCGAGAGTTGGTCCGACACTTTTGAATCACCCTGTATAAGATTTAATATTTATTCTCATAGTAAAGTTTGTGTACAAAAACAAAATTAAAAATTAATACTGTCCAACCTAAATTTGTTACAAAAATGAATGTAATATGAAATTTAATTAGGTGTAATACATTCATTTTTATTTTAGACCAGAGTAGGCTATTTTAACGTCATTCTGCAACAATCTTACCATACAACTCGCCGAATTTTCATAGTCTACTCTGGTATAAAACAAAATTTAATGTATCTAATATAATTATGTACATGTCTCAAAAGTTGAATGGTTTCTAATTTTTTGCTTATTACAATATTAAAAACCTACTTACGAATAAAAAAATTAAGAAATTTTGGTCAAAATGGCCACCACCAAAGAAAATTGATGTAAAAAGTTTAACTAAATTATTAAAAGTTTCTAGGAGATATTTTGCATAGCCTATTATTCTTTTTTAATTTAATAAACTCTTTTATTGTTTTTTTTTTCCTTGGGACCCATAACGGGTCAAAAAGGCCGTACAGGCGTGATATAAGAGATATGTGGCCACACACAGAAAACGATTTTATATAAACGAGTACTCTAAGAAAAACGACAACATAGTTCCAAAACACGTTTTCACCTGATATAGGTGATCTAAAAACTTTCTAAAAAAATTAAAATTTTGTTAAATAATAATTATAATATTAAATAATAATAATAATTATTGTCAGGTCTTTTCATGAACTTGAAGTGGGTGTTACACATTGAAGAAATGTCTATTTATTGTTACCGATGATCTTATAAATGTTTTTTTTATAATTATTCAGTAAAGGTACAAAAACTTTGCCTATAAAAGCCACAAATGACGTTAAACATAATTACAATAATTCAAGATACAGCTTCGTTGTTTCATATTCTTCATTCATATTCATATTTTAATTGCCTGCAGCAAACAAAATATGTATAATTATTCTTCCAACAGAGATAAATATGGTGAAAATGCAAAATTTAAACCCCCGTAACATGGATAGAATTTTTTTAAACATTTTTCCATATTGCTGGTATCTTATCTCACATAGCATTTTTCTCTGAGGCGCAAGTTGTGAAACACTCTGTTCTTTAACAACTAATAGCTTAGCTATTTATTAATTTATAATAAAAAACTTCTTTTAGAAAATAAAAAAAGTTCATCAAGAACTAGGTAAATCTACGTTTTCTAGAACTACGCTACATTATTTCTCTGATTCTACAGGGTGCACCAGAACTCCAGCCCCAAAGAAAAATGTCACATAAGGTAAGAAACCAGGAACAGGGAAAAAATGTTAAAAAATTTCTATCTATAAAAATTTCAATGTTATGAGAGTTTAAATTTTGCACTTTGAGTGTATTTATTTCTGCTGGAAAAATAATTTTTTAAAAGTTTTTTTGCCATAGGCTATTAGAAGAGGAAACAAGGAAGCTGTATCCTAAATTATAACTCTGTTTAATGTTACTTCTAGCTTTTATTGGCAAAATTTTTGTACCTTTACTATTTAGTAAATAATCTTGTATATGTTTTTTATAATTATTTTTCTACTTTGCGTTCGTACTAAGGTCCATTACGAAACTGTTTTGGGTTTCGTAATGAACAAAAACAGTACTATAAAAATTATACTAAAAAGAGGGAAATTTAGTCTTACAATGTTGGCGACCTAACCGTTTTTCCATCGAACTGTCAGTGTCAATCGGTCTATTTGCCGTCAAGGTCAGTATTTCTAACGCGTTGCAAAACGTCTTCGACACCTTCGAAATTCATTTTTAAGAAAAAAATAAAATCGTTTCACATTGATTTATTTCATAGCCACCACGCAATGTCGCCAAATGCCGCAAAATTCCCTACATTCAAAATTTTTTATTTTTTTGTTTAAAAAAGTGCAAAGTAGAAAAAATACTGTATGATATCTCGTTTATAAGACATTTTGTCGCACTTACTCCTTTATGACACTCCTCGCTGCGCTCGTCGTGTCCTAAACATGTGCGTGCGACAAAATGCTTCTTTTAAAACTCGTATCATAATATACTATTAATTACAAAAAACATATAAAGTCTGTTTTTTATTTAAATGGAAATTACCAAGTCAAAATTTTGGTGAAAAAATTTTCTTTGCTTTTTGTTTTTGTCCCTAGAAATTTTGTTAAAAAATTATGGTTATGTTTTCAAATTGAGATGTTGTCAAAAGTTTGACTTTTATGAATCTTGTGTGCCTGTTTGCTCTTTGAAAACGCTATAATTGAATACCTGAGGACAGACATCATTACCTAAGGTCTGAAGACAGAATTCAGTGCTTATAATTTTGATAGAAACACACCGCAAGTAAGTACAATGTTGTCGACAAAAATGAGGTTCTTGCTACAAAAACTTTGAAGAAAAAGGATGTATATACAGAAAAAAGTTATTTAGCAAAAGATACAAGTAGGTATTATTATGATTGGCAATAAATTTTGTGTAATTTATTGAAATGAGCTCAAGGTTGATGCATTTTATAAATTCTTCTTCAGCTTTAGTTTCAAAATTGTTACTTTTTCAACACGTTCCTCAAAAACGATGCACAAGACACTAATTTATTTGCGTTCTTTCCGAGGTTCTTTATCATTTATGTTTATTTTGTCTTCTTGTCAATTTCTTGCTAAAAATTGAGAATGTTTAACAAACCTGCATTACAAATTGCGTCTACATTTCAACGGGTCCTTTTTCTAACTTCCTGCTTGCGAACTATTCGTTTCCAAATTTCTAAAAACTGATAGCGGCACCGAATTTGTCTTTTTTTTCTTAGACGATTTTTTGTGTTGACCTTTAATGACATTGTTTTCAAATTAATTCAAAAAACCGGAACTGCCAACTTCTTTTATTAAAGTTACCATGAATGAATTTACTAGTGGTGCCAACGTTAAGACTGTTTGGCATTTCCATTAAAAAAAAAACAGACTTTACAAGATTATCAATCAGTATCATTAAATAGACATGAAAAAATGTCAAACGTCAAAAAATAGATGTCAAATTGTTTTGTCAGATAGAATTTTTTAAACATTTTTTTCATGTTCCTGGTATCTTATCTTACTTGAAATATTTCTCTGAGGCGCGAGTTCTGACATACCCTGTATGTGGGGTCCTATTGTTCAAGTAAAATTTGCTTAGTTGGATGAAAAACGTTTTCTTACCATTACTTTCCGTGGAGGGAACATCAGGACATGCCTGATACTTGAGTACAAGCCGGGAGTCGTCCGTACAACTCTCTGCTTTGCTGGCCGGATAGCTGCAATCACCCGAGCCCCTATTATAACTGAAAGTAAAAGGGGCACTTTTGAACGGACATGCCACTGGTTTAACTTCAGGATGTTTACGAAACATGCTATATAAAGGTGCATCTCCGGTTATCCCGTAACAGATATCCTGTAAAGAGCCTTTAACTTCACAGAACGCTGAAAAAGGATTAAGTTCCGGTCTTGGATTCAATTTTGTCTAATATACTCACTTTCTTTGTATTGGAGAACGGTTTCGTGCTTCTCGTGTATCGCCATACACCTGTAACAATTGTCAGATCTACGAAGAAAAACATATAGTGTGATTCGATAAAAATGACGTGTTTATAGTTACTTTTCGTAAACAAGGTATTTGTCGCCTTGCTCTTCGTAACATTCGCCTTTTGTTTCTATGTGAGTGGAGTTGATGTAGATTAAATTAGGAACGCCGCTCAAGAACCACCTACCGATCCAAGATTTTTTGAATTCGCAGCCACCTGGAAAAAAAAATGCAAATGCTTATTATACCAGCTCAATAATAGGAAAAGGACAATGACAGAGTATTAAATATTTAAAAATTACGTCACACATAAATAAGTCAGTTTCTACGAGTATGTGAAGTCAGTTGAGTAGTGTTGACGTTTCTTTGGCGGTAGTATCGATTAGATGTGGAATTATTGCGTTTACATTTATTAAATTTTCATTTTAATTGTGTTATACGACCTAGGAACGTTTGTTTTGACATGAACGCGGCACGAACCAATTGCCTGTATTTAGAGATAATAAAGCTTGTTTTTTTAACATAAAATTTAATTTACACCGTCCTCATCAAAACGAAAAGGTTTGAAATTTTTTAGACAGATGTAGGTAATATTAAATTTGTTTCAAAAGTTCAAAAATCTAATTTGTGGAAATATTTTTAATAAACATCTTCTCCTAAGCTTATTCATAAATTATGATGCACAGTGTTCCATTTTATTAAAGGAAACATTTTACATTTTGACACTGATCAATACTAATCCAGTCGTTTTATGTTTCCCTAAAATTACTTACAAAATTGTGGTATTGTAATACAATAATTTTTTGAAATTTGGTTCCGTAAATGTTAGAGATTGGTTAACAGAATTTTTCTTCAAGCGTATCATAATTTTAACATTTTGCTACTGAACCCACCAAGTAGAACAACTCCATTGCGTTACTAGTATAATATTGTAGAAAAAATTGTACTAGTAAAATAATGTTAGTGTCAAGTATAATAATGACAGTAACTTTTAGTATGGTGATATTGGCAACATTGAATTTTATAAATTGTTTGCCAATTAATAATGAGAAATTCCAAGCCAAAACGATCACTTTTAAAACTCATTGTTTCTGATTTTCGTAAATTTAAGATATGTAATAGAAAGTCTAAAAATAAGTGACACGTATTTCACCGTTTTTTATTTTTTCAATGCATGTTGACAAAGGATGTACAAAATTAAATATCTGAAACGACCAATTCGGTTAAGTTCGGAAAATCTTCAACTGCAACTTTAACATTAACATTAATTAAAAAAAAGTACTGGCTAAAAAACAATTTTATTTAACTAGAGGTTATTTTTAGATCATAATATTTAATTAAAAAAAATATCATGGTGGGTTGCCATTTAAAATTTTTTTTTTCCAAAACTCTAAAAATAAATTTCAAAAAATGTTATTCTTGATAAATGGACACATTTTAATTGTACTTTACGCTACACTAATTATTTTTTTCGTAAAGTGCTTAGTTTACGAAAAAAACGCTCGGTTCCATACTTTTTATTCACCTGGGATGTGTATAGTTGGTTGCCAGCCGCTTAAAGTGCATTCTACAAGTTTTTTTTTTATTTAAATAAAGCTAAGAATGTATATCATTCATAAGTTAATAGAAAATACGATATAAAAATTAAAATCTAATAACATTGACTGGGACTGGGACTTTTTTTTGAAGTATTTTTGTCGCTCTGCTCAGGTGCCAATTCTTCTAAAAATATGTTCATTTCTTTGTCTTGAAAGTCAAAAGTTATGTATTGTTCTTGATTCATTTACTAGTTTAATATTTCATGCTTTAAAAGAGTGGTCGACATTATGACGTCACAGTAACCCGACCTTCAACTTTAAAGTGACGTCCTTTCATACCGTTTAAAAATTTGATGCTGGGCGTGTCTGTAATGACGTCACGAATCTGGTAGGTGTAGGAAAATCGGTTTTTCCAGGCAGAAAACTCAATAATAAAAGTCAGATCGGGCGTAAACAAAGCCCACTTTGCGTCGCTTAATAGTCCTCATTTCGGCATTACGCTTTGAACACGATTTTTTCCCTCTTAAATATCGACGTGTTGACATAACAACATCCGAAAGTAACCTGTATAATGAAGCAGTACGTACGTAATCACCCTCATCTTCCTCATCAAAGGGTGCTGCGGCGTAAAAAAGTCGCCTGGCGCCGTACATTTCCCTTCTCTCTCACGAGCAATTTACGTCATTGCCGATGCGCTTTTGTCGCCGGAATAAGTGAGTGTCATTAGTTGTAGCATGTCTTTGTTTGTTTGGATTTTAGTCATATTTTTTGTCTGAAAGAATGAAGGGCGATGTTTTTACCTTGTGCTTTACTGACACTTTACGTTGTTGTCTTTCGACTGAATTTAATATTGGAGTGTTTCAAATTCCCTTTTCAAATTTAAAAATGCCGAGATGCGAATTTCAAATATTGCTTCACTTACTTGCATTCTTATTCTTGTTATTAAAATGAAGAATTCTAATTTGAAATATTGTAACTTAAATGCTCCGACTCGATTATGGTGGAGGCGCCGGGTAAAAATCAAATATCAAACGATACATTATTAAATCGTAATCAAAAGAGTGATGTTATCTCATAAAATATTAGTGATACTGTATTTTGTAGTTTTCAATGTAAAATAAACTTAATTTTGTGTTCAAAATTTATCTTTACGAACTAAAATTGGAACAAATCGTTATAAAATAGTGAAAAAATTTAAGCCACATTTAGAAGAAACTCCATTACTAAACATAAAATATAATTTCAACCACAAAAACTACAACTACTGTACTAAAACTATTTTTTTTTAAAACAATTGTCAACGTTAAAATTCCCCCAAAGACAAAACTGTACCACTCTAAAACCTTTCTTTTCGGAACATCTGTATATTGAAATCTCCTGAAATTAGGTTTGAAGTTATGTTAGTAATTTTCAAATGTCAGAAAAATGCAACTGCAAAACGGGAAAAAGTAATTTAATGGGTAATATAAATTTTTAGTCAAAATTTTCAGACCACCAATCGTCTTTCGAATTTGATTTTGCGGAAAGTTAAATCATTATTGGAGGAATATAATAAAAAACTGGATCAGTGTGGCAATTTATTGAATGGTGTTCTTTTTTAGCAGTTTTTACACAACCAAAATTGTCAAATTCATGAAATTTTTTAACTTGGTTGGTTTTTCTGTCTGCATATATTCACAAAATCTAATCATAGCTATTTTTCTTGTTGTGTTAGGGTCCTGATCCTTGCTTTCGGAAACTCATTTTTGTATTCAATTAACTAGTACGAGAGCTAGACTAACAATAGCAGCGATTCCCGCCATCCGCAACGTCACAAAAATAATTCTAATACCAACCAATTCACCATTTTCTGCGCCCTTTAAGTTGTAATTTTTATTTTTATATTTAAAAGTAATTGCAGTTTTAGTAGCGCAAGCGCCGTTATAACAAAACGGCTTGGCATTTTACGTTGCCAGCGTAATAACATCAAATAACTAGTGACTGATACCAACATGACAACACTTTGACATTTGTTTTAAAAATGGACTTTTATCCGATTATTATAAAACCTGGCAAAATAAGAAACTAAAGTAACTCTTCCACGTAAAAGTATTTGAAAGTTATACATTTAATCTCTGAATTACTCTTCGTATATTTGTTAATAAGTTTTGTAGAAGCTGTGGACTATGAGATTTTCATGTCTGTGGTTATGTGCATTTTTATATTCGTGCATTTCGAAACAGATTCATGTTCATAATCCTTTCGAATCCCCCTCTAGAAGTTGGTTTCCAACGTCCATCTTTCGTTAATTCAGCACCCATTTCAGGTCCAGGTCATGAAAAGTCTCGGCAACACGAGCGGTGATGTTTCAACATCGCGCCGGATTAGCAATGTAGTCTCAAACTCTCACAAAAACAGACCAAACCGCACATCTAAGCGGATTCCACTAGTCACAACGAATTATTAGGTGCGTCACCCTCTTGTATTCGTGGCGTCTCTTTTAAAAATCGATGCATAAAGTGCCGACTGTTTGAACTAATCCGCTTACTTATGTATCATTGGTCGTTGCTTCTGTCTGATTAATTAAAAATGTGGTGTCAAGGTCGTAAACACGAGCTTTCCATCAAAGCCGATTCGAGTTTTTTTCTGGTAATGACATTGCTAAATCGTTTTAATCTGGTTTTGTAATGATTCCGAAACAACGCCAGCTGCGACCTTTAACAACTTTTCCTTCCTGGTAAAATTTGCACAATGTTAAATTGATTAAACAAAGCAAAGGTTTGGAGTTGGGATCTTTCCTTTTTGCGATGCTGTAACGTTAAGCAAGATCGATATGCAAGAGGCAAAGGCGGAAGTCCGATTTGCGACGTACCACATTTCGGAATCGTAAAGAGGAGACACGTTATCGTATATCCCGGACTACGCTATTTTACTCCACGGGGTGATTTCGAGCCGAATTGTTATGTTTATGTTTGTATTTGCGTTTTTACTTTTGAATTTTATTATTATAGCCATTCAAAACCTATTCCTCCTTACGACCACTCTTTAATTCATCTAGAAAAAGAACAAAATCCTTAAAGCTTCCGGACTTAACATTATGTCATAATTTATCTATGAAACTCAAGGTAGATCCCTACTAAACAGCTTAGTGAATCATAAGGGACTGTCTTATAGATACATAGTCCTTATAGCTTTACTAATTCACGCCGCTGAAATTGGGGTACCATCACATGCATGAATTAACCGCTCACATTTTGCTAATTAGAATTCACCAAAGGACTATGCAAATTTAAGCGTGACTTAAGGTGTGTAACAAGTCATCATGAAGCAAAGGGCTTCACACAGCTCAAATACACTGGACGGCGCCCTTGAAGGTGCAAGGTGTAAAGACCTGGGCCATCTGCTATGCATACACACATAATTAACATCTATTTTAAGGTTGAACTATACTGAATAACAAAATAAATCGTAGTTCAAAAATTCTGAAGTCTTGTCGTTTAAATATAAATTTAAAAAAACCTTTATTTTTGGCCATTTAATTTTTTTTATAAAAAACTGTACCAAGGAATTTTTTGATTTATTTTTGGCGTATTGTAGATTACCTACTTATGTTACTGTATTTTTTCATAAAAAATAAAAACTATTGAATTTTCCAGTCCATTACAAATATTCAAAATGAGATAAAAATTCTGTGATGCTG